ATATAATTTTGGAATGAGGTGAGCGTTAGTACAAGTGGTGGGCTTATACACGGGGGCTTATATCCGGGGGGGGGCTTATATTCGGAGGTTTACAGTATGTGCTTTGCATGCTACAGTACATACTGCATAGGTCCATGATATCTGTAAATGATTAATTTATTTTGGCACCACTGGCCTCCTTTAGACTCCTCTATAGCATGTAAAAATAGCATGCAAGATAAGTTTTCATAGGCCCCGTTTACACTATACCGGATTCGCTCGTCACGCGATCATCTTCTGCCGTTAAGGAGCAATGGTTAGTAGCAAATGCTTATTAGTTTGACAGAATTGGCTTGTTTATTTGGGTCTGTGAGATTAAAAATCTTCACAGCCTTTCAATGCCTACAAAATTTGACCCACTCCGATAGCAATCCGGTATAGTGTAAACGGGGCCATAGATGCACACCGTTTTCGTACGTTTAGCCAGCGCCGTAGACAAGTAAACACGGCCTATCGGGCTTAATATATACAAGACACTAACGTAGCCTAGCAACTTGTGAAACCTTGTAACATGGCCAGCGTGTAAATTCATTATTCAAATTTACTATTAATGAGCATGCACTCAGCACATATTCATATAAAACTTACCTCTGCTGAATTATTAATTGTTTCGCGAATAGTACGTCCGATTGTCTCGGTCAACGATCTTTCTACTGACCTTTCTGACGCCATGGCAAGAAGCAAAGAAGCAAAAATGGTTTACCGTATCATTAAAATACAAATCGAAATGTTGAAGTCGAACAATGTTTTCAGTTTTCACGCCGGAGATGTTGTAAAGTTGACAATCGAAGCCCTGGGAGGGGTGGCTAAATCTGTTTTGTATCCTACGTCATTTGGCTCGCCAAGTGTCGAAAAATTTGATATAACCAAAATAAATCACGTTGTCAAAAGTGGTTATTTGATATAACCAAAATAAACCATGTTGTCAAAAGTGGTTATTTGATATAACCAAAATAAATCATTTCGAAAAAATTGGTTATTTTAAATAAGCAAATTAAATAATTTTGACAAAAAGTGGTTATTTTAAATAACCACATTGTGATATTTGGTTATTTCATATAATTAACTAAATCATTTGAAAATGCGACATAAAACGTTTAAATAATAAAAACACATTTGGCGCCCCATAATCGATGACTGCCGAATACTTTGTTTAGCGACTGCGAACGACGTACCAAGTATGGCGTTTACAAATATTTCGATCACCAAGCTTTGTAGCATTTTAAGTTTTTAACACGAGGTGTCAGAGCGAAGCAGGTCAAGAGCGAAGCAAAGACATACTTTGTATAAATACTGGCCTTTAATACTTCAAGTTTTGTGAGAAAGGGAGATCGTTTAGAGGTATGTGAACTTGCCCGATTTTTTCTTCTCTTCTAAGCTTTACATTTTACTTTTAATTCACAGCGCGAATTATGTATATCATATATTTTCATTATTTCATACACTATTTATAATGAGAAATGTTTGTGTGTACTAGCCTAAAACATAGTCTGTCATACATATTAAATATTAAAATGCACCCATGGCTATGAATGTTTAGCTCCACGGTTAAGAGGATTTAGCTTTAAATATATTTCATTTTCACACAGAATGTTGTCTATAAATATATTCCTATTATCCTATAGCAACCCAGTGTGGATTGTTGTCTGCATACGTTAACTGAGTTACCAGCAGTTACAAGATATGATGGTCAGAAATATACCTCTGAGATATGTCCATTGTTAGCACAATACGAAATAATCCTACCGGCCTTCATGTATTCACCTGGCTGTGTCACCACCACATTTCAGGATTTTTGATAATGCACCAATCAGTGGAATGCACCGCAGCCTTTACCCGGGGAATAGCGGGGAATTATTGAGCAATTGAACCTTATATTCGGCCACGGTACACGGGGATTTAGACTGTATTAATTATGTTATCAGGTACCGGGGACTTTGGCGGGATTTATATCGGGGATTAGACATAGCCGCCAGGGACGTCCGAACGATAATCAGGCAAAGGGGGGCGGACGCACACCAAGGGCACCTCTATAGAGCAAAACTTCAAAATCTACCGGAAAATTTTTTCAATGGAAATTTTTGAACGACCTCCGAAATTTTCGCCATTTCTTCAAAATATTTTTCTAAATTCCAAAAATTTTCCAAAATTTTTATAAATATAAACTATAAATTACCTGGATCTCATGATTTTCCTACAAAAAGCATCGTTGGAAATGTGATTTTTCACGTAGTATTTTACAACTAAAAGGGCACTTCTGCCCCCTGCCCCCCCCCCCCTAGCAAAAGGCAAGGGGGCAGCCGCCCTCTCTGCCCCGCCCAGTTCCGGCGTCCCTGATAGCCGCCATCTTGAAAACGAAAATAGACTGGGAATGAGCAATGAAAGCGAGCTGATAGTTTTGCGCACGAACTGACAATCTCTTGTGTTATTAGGTCACCGTTTTATTTTCTTGAAAGTTATTGTAAATCATTTAGATGTTCCATTTTCTTAAACATTCAGTATGGACCATAGATATAACTTATATTTTAAGTAAAAAGGGAAAGGCCTAGTTTTTAGGGGCCCCGAACAATGACAAAACCAAATCGAATTGAAAAGAATTCAGTTTAATAGATGTGCAAAATTAAGTACGAATAAGGTATAGTATAGGTCTATTTCCTTTAGACGGATATTCTTTTTAGATATTGTATGGTGGGCCCGGAGAGAAGGGATATTATTTGCGTTTAGGCAAGTGGGAGTGGCCCATATAGCGGGGAGTTAGAGTGAAATAGAGCAAGGTCTTGGTCTAGTGTCCCGCTGCATGTTCCCCGGGTAGGGGGTGCGGGGGTATTCCACTGACTGGTGCATAATGCTCACAATTTCCATAGGCTAAACGAAAGTCCAAATGCTGGTTAACAAATCTCAAATGTTGTAGAGCAGATCTTGTAGTTCAAGAAGATTATTATTGCTGCTTGAACAACCTTTCAGTTTACAGATAACTATTGCTATCTCTCAGAAATAATGAAGTTTTTTGCTAAAGTGTACACCGTGATTTATTTAAATACATCTAAATCATCCCGTCTCATATCTCATCCTGGCAAAGCGGGGTCATATAAACAGCCCCTTATCAGTTCAGCAAATTGCGCATGCTGCCTTTGATCCCTTGGGGATGAGGCAGCACTTTCCTTGCGATAGTAACTTCTAGTATATAATATAGCGTGTTCAAAATGTAACGAAGTTGACTTGATTTTAATATTTTAAACAAACGTGATTTACTTATATTGCATATAGCAGCCCACCAATGTATGATTAATGCAATCTATATATTCCAAACTGCAGTGACTGTGAATGGGTTTTTGTAGGAAAAGGTTTAGCACACCTGGGGATGGCCAGCTGGAATGTGCTTCATAATATTTTTCACATTATCATTGGTTTTGCATGTCATTCCTGGAACACTCATTCTAAATCACTTTGCACGAATGCTCTATACAGCCAGAAACGCCACAGACATTGCATGAAGTTGCGGATTTTACCGACCTACTGTAAGTTGTCAGCAAATTACAGCAGGCTTGTTGACGTCGTCAACTTGCAGCAAGCCTGTTAAAATCAGGCTTGCTGCAAGTTGACATTTGTAGATATAATGCAAGTTCATAAAATAAGTTGCATCAAGTCTACAAACATCAACTTGCAGCAAGCCTGATAGAACAACTTGCAGCAAGTCTGATAGAACAACTTGCAGCAAGTCTGATGAACGCATCAATGCTGATGCAAGTTGAGAAAATCAGGCTTGCTGCAAGTTGTCATTTGCAGACTTGATGCAAGTTGTTTCATTAACTTGCATCAAGTCTGTGGATATCAAGTTTTGACAAGTCTGATGGAACAACTTGCAGCAAGACTGATGAACACATCAATGTTGATGCAAGTTGAGAAAATTAGGCTTGCTGCAAGTTGTTATCCGCAGGCTTGCTGCAAGGTGTTCAAACAATTTGCAGCAAGCTTGTGGAAAACAAGTCTTGACAAGTCTGATAACACAACTTGCAGCAAGTCTGTTAAAATCAGGCTTGTTGCAACTTGACATTTGCAGACTTATTGAAAGTTGATAACAAATTTATTTGACTTGTTCAGACTAGCTCACAGACTTTGTTTATTATTTGGCTAATTCGGCCGCGAAAAGCACTAAAGCAGTTTTCCCAATTTTTTCATCGCTCTATACATGAATATTCAACAATATGGAGATGTGTGTATTTTAAATCAAAAGGATTATTTGGTGGTATTTACGGACGTCTATACAGCTATTTCTGATGAATAAAATCAGATGAGTTAGAATGGACAGCTGTAGAAAAATTCTCGCAAGTCGCAAATGAAATAACTAAAATTTTAATAAAAATGAAAATTTAAGAACAACTTGCTGACGTGTGCTGTCGCTATATTTCTTTAATCTGATGGGATAAGGCGTGTCACATAATCACAAAGGAGAGACATACAGAGTTGTAACTAGTGTATCCACTTTTTTGTGCGCATGCTTGGCAAGTTACTGCATGCATCTGATTGGATGACGACCTGTCACGAGTCGTCAGACTCACTTTAAACTTGTTCAGCACGCGCAGTTGATAATTTTTTTGCCGCCGCAGTGTTTACGACGGTCAGTTATAGCTCTGTATGTCTCTACTCTGTGACGTAATCATGTTTAGTTGTTTAGTTGTTTTTGAACCAATTTCAACAACTGTCAAGTTATCAACTGCCTCAAACAAAATCAACAGTGCTTCCATTTTGAAGGAAACTTCCTTTTTGAAGGAAAGCTTAAAGGAAATCTTAACAAGTTGAAGGAAATTATAAGTAAATTCGAATCTGAAGGAAATTTGAAGGAAATTTCGGAAGATTGAAAGAAATGTGAAAGAAATTGCCTTATTTCTAAAAAATCCTAAGAATACGGCAATTTCCAAGGAAATGGCTTCAAAATATGCTGAAAATCCTGTCCTGCGAGATGCAAAAAATGTGAATTTGCTGGGGGAGGACCACCAGACCCCTCCTGGTTATTCTCCTTCGTGATTAATCTGGGTAAACTCTTTGTCTCTCCCCTTTGATAATTCAGCCCCTGCAACGTCTATGTTCCTTCTACAACAAGAATTACCCCGTTATTCGAGATAAATTACTATAAAATCAATTTTAAATTAGGTAAAATCAGGGTAAAATTCAATAATTGTTTCTGCAAGGAAATTTTGTCAAAAATAAGGAAATTTTGAACTTCTGGAAGGAAATTATGTTTTTTGAAAATGGAAGCACTGAAAATCATTAAATCAATCAAGTTGTCAAGTTCACAAGGAAGCGAAGAAAGCTTTGTTAAAAGCTTTAAAAAGCTCGGTTTTAGTCAGGATAGAGGATCAAAATTATGGAGAACTCACCATATCGAGGGGCAATTCCATTTTGCGTTCATATTGTGCCCTGATGGCTAGTAAGTACATTTCTGAATGTTGGCCGCGTTAAAATTT